TATATATATATTTTTTTTTTTATTTAAAGTCTCCTGTTACTCTTATAACAAAAAGCAGACCAGAATACTTAGCATGACATCTCAGGCCCTGGATGACTGGGTTATTGTCTGCTCTACAGCCCCATCCTTCACTGTTCTTCCCCTGGCCCTGTGTCCTGTCATACTGGCAATTTCTACTTCCTCTAAATCACTGTGCTCCTTCCTCCGTTAGAGGCTTCACTTTTCCTGTATCTCTTGCTTGATCACTAATATCTCTCAAGACTAGCACTAAAAAAGGTGTTTTTCTTTCTAGTAGACAAAATTGCATTTTCCCAATGTTTATAAATTCTATCACTCCTGCTAATAATGTCTATTTTTCTCACCTATGTAATCAAGACCTGGAATGCCACCTGGTACATCACTGGAATTCAGCAAAGGGAGTGGATAAACTGTGTGCCAAGTGCTTTTTACATCCACAGTCTTGCTTGTCTTTATGATACCTTTTATAAAAACATAACAAGGGCCGGGCTCGGTGGCTCAGCCTATAATCCCACGCCTTTGGGAGGCTGAGGTGAGTGGATTGCCTGAGCCTGCGGGTTCGAGACCTGCTTGGGCAGGTGAGACCTCATCTCTACAATAAATCAAAAATGAGCTGGGCGTGGTAGCACACACCTGTAGTTCCAGCTACTTGGAAGGCTGAGGCGGAAGGATCGCTGGAGCCCAACAGGTCGAGGCTGTGGTGGCCGAGAGTGGCCACTGCACTCCCGTCTGGGCGACAGAGTGAGACTCCAACTCAAACAAACAAACAAACAAAAACCTAACAAGGTAAATTGGCCCAAGGTCACATAGCTAGTAGGTGGCAAAGTTATGATTCTGATGAGACCTGTTTGATGGTTTTGGAGTTTAAAATAACCCTGTCAAGAGAGAAGTGCTAATCTCTTGATTTGTTTTCCAGTGGAGACTTTTCAGAAACTGCAGAAGGCAAAGGAAGTTCTGACCAATGAAGAGAGTCGAGCCCGCTATGACCACTGGCGAAGGAGTCAGATGTCGATGCCATTCCAGCAGTGGGAAACTTTGAGTGATTCGGTGAAAATGGTGGGCCTCTTTTTGGGGATGATGTGAAATTGTGAAGCCCAGACTGCCCATGGAGTAGAATCATGTAGGCAATAGGAGGGAGTCAATAGGCCACAGGAGGGGAAAATCCAGAAATTGGTAGAGTCTATATATAACTCAGTGTCCACAAACCCTGTGAAGGGAAGTTCACCAAAACAGACACAGGGAATTTGTGCTAGAGGAGCCTGTGGCTATACTTTTCAGTCTCTTTGTATGTACTCCTTGTTATTACTCACTGCTTTTTGAGTTCTTATAAATGTGCTTCTCAAGTTGCTCATATACTGCTGAGTTTTGAACCACTGCAAATTCATCTCCTTCATCTTCTTCTTTTTTTTTAAGTTGAAGTCTCACTCTTGCCCAGGCTGGAGTGCAGTGGTATACTCACTCCCCCACCCCAGCATCGAACTGCTGGGCTCAGGTGACCTTTCAGCCTCAGCCTTCCAAGTAGCTGGAACTACAGGCGTGCGCTACCACACCCGGCTAATTTTTTTGATTTATTGTAGAGACAGAGTCTCGCCAAGTTGCCCGGGCTGGTCTCGAACTGGCAGACTCAGACAATCCACTTGCCTCGGGCTCCCAAAGTGCTGGGATTACAGGTTGAGCTACTGAACCCAGCCCCCTTCATCTTTTAAATTCATATTAGCTCATTCTTTCTCTCTCTCTCCTCTCTCTCTCTTTTTTGAGTTGGAGTCTCACTCTGTCACCCAGGCTGGAGCACAGTGGCATGCTCACAGCCACCACAGCCTCAACCTGCTGGACTCAGGCAATCCTTCTGCCTGAGCCTTCCAAGTAGCTGGAACTACAGGCGTGTGCTACCACATTTGGCTAATTTTTTGATTTATTGTGGAGACAAGGTCTCGTCAAGTTGTCCCGGCTGGCCTTGAACTCCTGGACTCAGGCAATCCTCTCGCCTCTGCCTCCCAAAGTACTGGGATTACAGGCCTGAGCCACCGTCCCCAGCCAAGCTTATTCTCTATTTACCATTTTCATGAAAAAACCAGGCTCTGCTTAGTCAAAGAAAGTTGTAAATTGTTTATATTATACATTCTGGTGAAAGAATTGTTAGCTGGACGCGGCAGCTCATGCCTATAATCCCAGCACTTGGGGAGGTGGAAATGAGAGGATTGCCTGAGCCCAGGAGTTTGAGACCAGCCTGGGCAACTTGGCAAGACTTTGCTTTACAATAAGTCAAAAAATTAGTTGTGCATGGTGGTGTGCACTTGTAGTCCCAGCTACTTGGAAGGGTGAGGTGGAAGGATTGCCTGATCCCAGCAGGTTGAGGCTGCAGTGGTTGTGAGCATGCCACTGCACTCCAGCCTGGGTCAACAGAGTGAGACTCTGGTTCCAAAAAAAAGAAGAAAGAATTGTTAGACTTTTAAAACCATTGTGTTATCTTTCTTCATGTCATTAAAAAGCCTAAACATAAAAAATAATCACTATAATTACTGTTAGTTATTTCGTTTCTTTAACATTGGCCTTTGTATATTATAGAGAAAATGTAATTTTAAAGGTTCCTACATTCTTAGGCATGATTTGTCATCCAAATTCTTTCCCTTGGAACACTTGTGTGTGACATGAGACTTAGAATACAGAAATTACCTTATAGGCAAGTTTCCAGGATGAGTTGTTGGAATTAGTCTATGAAGTGATTCACATCTCTTCAATTACAGACCTTTAGGGTAACATTTAGATCTCCTTCCTAGTTAATATTTTAGAAGATTTGAGCAAATTGTTGATAAAAGACTTGTAATACTGAGGAAATGATGAAGAAGAGCAATGCAAAACTTCTAGTGTTATGGTTAAAGCCACCCTATATAAAGCATAAACTATTTTCTTCATCTCATTTTGGAAAGAAATGTTCATCCATATGGATTTGTTTATGGTGGGCTAATTATTTATGAGGAACTAACCATATGATTATTGTATAAATGCACGAATTACTAGGGAGAGCATGTTTCAAAAAATAGGGACTTCACATATTTAAATATAATTTTTTCCCCACTTTCATTGTATAAATTCAAAATTCCTTGTTGACACTGACTAAATAAACATTGTTCTACCACCTCTGCATAACCATATTTCACAGTCTTCTAAGTGTGATACACTGTAACTGCAACCAAATTGGTGACTCGCGATCCTAATACTTTCTGATTCATAGTTTTTTTTTTTTTTTTGGTGATCCACTCAAGTGTGTCACTTAATTTTTAATAGCTTATATCCAGTTAGCTGTGAATTTTCCAAAATATTTTCTTCAAATCCCTGCTTTAATTTATGTTGCTGAAGTCTTTCCATTAAATACTAATTTCCTGTCTCCAAACACATCATTTCTCCTTTGAATTTAGCTTAACTATGAACTGTTTGGGGTCTTAAAATAATTATATTTTAGATCTTGCTGCATCATTTGTCTTGTCAGCAAAGTTGAAGTAGTATGTTGGGTTGTACTTGGTTTCAGATTTATTTTTATCAGTGGTACAAAAATGATGAGGTGCATATCTCTCTGCTTTAAATCGGCAGTGATACTTTTTCGCGCACAGTGTTCTTTGTTTGGGCTAAACGTTACTGTCTCTAACTTCCTTTTGTTTCTCTTCCTCGGTGGACTTTGAATTCCGTATACCAAGTGTTACCTGTTCTGTATTTCATTTGATAGCCTTTGGATACCTTTCCTCTCATTCCTCCTTCCTGTAACAATCCTCAGGGTAACTTTTGTAAGTGTAACTCACCACCTCTGGAATTATTTAGTTGTTGCTTTCTCTGTGTGTGCATTTCATTTGTACATTCTTTTGAATTCATTACTCTAGAGAAATTAGTAACAATTTTCATACCTAGTATTGTTTATCACCCAGCACAGCATTGTCTATTCTTTTATAGCATGTTTGGGTTAGGTATAGTGTCCCCCCTTACCCTCAGTTTTGCTTTCCTCAGTTTCAGTTACCTATGGTCAACCCCTGTCCAAAAATAAGATTACAACACAATAAGACATTTTGAGACAGAGAGAACATGTACATTCACATTAATTTCATTATAGTCTATTGTTATAATTGTTCTATTTTATTGTTAATCTTTTACTGTGCCTAATTTATAAATTAGACTTTATAACAAGTATGTATGTATAGAAAAAAATGTAGTATATATAGAGTTTGGTACTACCAGTGCTTTTGGGCATCTACTGGGGATCTTGGAATGTATCCCTTGAGGATCCCTCAGACTATATTACATATATTACATAGGCCATTCTGACAATAAAATGGCTATAGCTTTAGGATTTGAATGTCAGGCGACATTTATCTAAAATGCATCTGCATATTTGCATGCCCAGAACATTTATAGATTGTTAAATCTCATAAAATCCCTTTTCTTCACATCATCAACTCTGTGTCTCTGCTTTTTATTTAAGTGCTATAATCCCTCTGGAAGGAAAACCATTGGTGGGGAGCAATATTGGTCCCCATATCTATAAGGCAGGACAGATCACAATGTGCTTCTGAGGCATCACACACATGATTGTATTTTGGGAATCTCCTTTGGGAGAATTTCTCAAATGACCCACAGCTTCGAGGGTGCTATACTTCTATCATCCATGAGCTATGAAATTGAACTGAAAAATTTTTTTCCCCAAACCAAGTCTCTGTCATTTCATTAACTATTTCTCTTTTCCTTTTCTAGAAGTTCCTTCTGATAGTTTAAGTTGTAAAAATATTTTAAGAATACACTCAGGTCAATAAATATGTTGGAAATTTAGATTGTATTTATTTATTTATTTTTTAGTTGGGGTCTCACTGTCACCCAGCGCAGTGGCATGATCATGGCTCACCTCAGTCTTGACCTCCTGAGTAGCTGGGGCTACAGGTATGCACCAACATGCCTGGCTAATTTTTAATTTTTTTTGTAGAGATGTGATCTCTCTGTATTTCCTAGGTTGGTCTTAACCTCCTAGGCTCAAGCAATCCTTTTGCCTGGACTCCCAAAGTGTTGGGATTACAGGCATGAGCCATTGTGCCTGACCCTGGAAATTTAAATTTAGACATATACTGTTGGTTTAAGAAGAGCTATGGAATCAGGGTTTTAGTAATCCAGGGCTTTGGGATCCTGGGATAACTTGAAAAGAGAGACCGTTCTAACTCAAATAATCTTAGGGAAATTTATCTTTGGCAGGCTAAATAGTTTATCCCAAAGGGGTCCCGGGTATAGATGGCTCTCCCTGTAGCTCAAAAAAACATAGCAGAGTGGTTCTAGGACAGCTGTGGGAAAAATAAGGCACAGTCAAAATGAAGTGCTGGGAAGATTCTTATAGGCTGTTAAAACTGTCCCATGCTTTATCTATTGCTATATATTTTATAGAGTTGATAGAAACATATTTTTGGTGAATCAGTCGTTTGACAAATTGACTGCTTCTGGGAGGGCTTGTTGGGTTACTCCCATTGCTTCTGGTTTCCCAGCTGGGCAAGGTGTCCTTGGGGCGAGTCCAGCTGGCTACAAACTACCTACCAGAAGAGCTAAATACTATGCTCCTGTGACCATAGTTTCCCTAGCCAGATGGGAAACAATGTGCAATTTAATACCTTCTGCTGGTTCAAAATGTAATCTGTCCTAATTGGATGTAATCCAAAAGCAAGTCAAAAATCACCCAAACAAGTAAAAAATTCACTCATGGTGATCTAGGCTAATAATAGTTAATTCTGTAGTTATTCCACTGATCTATGACAGATCTGAATCAGTTGATTTTGTTTCTATTTTTCTTATATTTACTGGTATGTAAACAAAATTTTTCATTTTCCAGTGTTGATCAAAGTCTAGCGTATAAGTAAATGACTTCATAGAGAGAAAAAGAGACCCATTAAGGAAAGTTGGTAAACGAGTTAATTGTGAAGACAAAATAGCAACATACTAATTTCCTACACTGTAGGGTTAGCGGCTTTTGCACGTTGCTGTCTGTTTAGTGTTAGTTTACTCCATGCATATACAGATTTTATCTTGTGCAGTTTTGTTTTGCTGTACAGACTCTCCCCCTCCTAGTCTCCCTATAGTTTCTATCAGTTCCTGTCATTTGATATTTTTAATTGATGCTGATTCTCTTGAAATGAGTCACTCCACAATAGACTATTTTGCTTGATGTTAAATGTTGTTCTGTGCAACTGATACCCTAGTGGAGCTGAGATATATGCTCTGTGAACACAGAATTGAGTGATTTGTCAGTTATCTGTGTTCCAGCAAACCAGACTGCTTAGTATTACTCTGTTGTTAGTCCTTTGATTGAACTACAAAGCACGAGAAGGTACCTGTATATAAGGTTAGATACAGTTTGGATTTTTCCTCTGTATATTTCTTCAATTGAAATTGGCAGATGTGGGAGTCTGATGATAAAATACTTTATTCTGATTTACTCATAAAGGAGATGGATAAGGCTACTATTTCTGAATATCTTTTCACTGAGGGACTTTCAAAGCATTTACTGTAGACGAACCATTAATCCTTGCCACCTATCTAAGGCAGATTGTAGACACTTTGATTTCAAGAGAGAAGTACTGAGGTACAAAGATCAATACTATGTGCAAGCCACCTAGCTGACTTGTGATACTTGCATTTCACATTTTCAGCTCTCCAGGCTCTAAATTCTTGAATTTCTTACTCTGTTTTTCACTAACCTTATTAATATCCTTTCTCATCTATAGAGGACGCCACTGGCCAGCCTCTTCTATGCATATGCAAAAAAAAAAAAACACATACCAAAACAACAACAAATCCAAAGCAACCCTCCCCAAAAAATTCAGGTTATTTTTTGCACCAGCTGAGGCATTGCTTCTTTTTAAAATTAACATTTTTATTTTGAAATAAAACCTGTAGAGAAATGCATAACACCTACATTTACAACGGCTGTGAAGCCTTTACTCTGTAAGAATTTCCCCCTATGCGCATAGTGCTGGCACCCAGAAGTTTCCTCCTTATATATTTTTGCAATTATAACTACATCTAATTTTTAAATCTAATTTTTTCTTATAAATAGACATATATAATCTCCTTATAGAAAACTTGGAAAATACCCTCTCCTCCCAATAAGAAAAGACAGTAAGTAACTTTATAATCCTGCCATGCAGATATAATCACAGTTAATGCTTTGGGGCATTTCTTTCCAATTTTTTTTTTCCTGTTAATAGGATGGTTCTTGGATCTTGGGATGAGTGGGTTGATTAGTCTATAGACTGATTATATTTGGGAAAGAGGATTCTGAAGGGCTCTTCTGTAACTGGGAAGAGATAGGTTTCAACCTGTCTGTTGATTAGATTACGGCAGAGGGTTTGAATAGACTTATGATTTTAGGGAGTAAGGAAGGCTATGTTGCCCTCCAGTCTTGGGCTTTTGGGTAACTGAGGTAGTGTGTTTGTACTTTAGATGAGGCTTCCCAAAATATCCAGATACGATTTCTTTTTTTTTTTTTTTTTAGTTGGAGTCTTACTCTGTCGCCCAGGCTAGAGTTCCGTGGCACACCCATGGCTACCCCTGTGTCGACCTGCTGGGCTCATGTGATTCTTTCCCCTCAGCCTTCCAAGTAGCTGGAACTACAGATGTGCGCTACTATGCCCGGCTAATATTTTATTTTATTTTATTTTAATTTATTTTATTGTAGAGATGAGGTGTCACCAAGTTGCCTGGGTTGGTCTCAAACCCTTGGTCTCAGGCAGTCTACTTGCCTTGGCCTCCCAAAGTGCTGGGATTACAGGCTGAGCCACGAGCCTGGCCAAGATTTCTTTTTTTCTTTTTTAAAATTTATTTTAAAGATGTGGGGTACAATTCAGGATTAGGTATACAAATGGTCATTGTACTGGTAAAATTTGGGCCTGATTTAGATAAGATTTCAAGCAGGAGTTATGTTCATTATTTTGGTTGATGCCAGAGTGAATTATTCTACTTGAAATATTCTTGACGCAGCAGCCTGGCAATCTCTCTTTCTCACTCTGTTAATCTATTAATTCTTCCATCAATATGTCTATCTATCCATCTCTCTGCCAGTTTTAAAATTTTTAATGGAAAATACATATGTAGGACATAAAATAAAAAAGGTACAAAAGTGTGTATGGTGAAAAGTAACCAGTAATACTTAGATGAATTAATATCTGGATTAACTGATGAATATCTTATTAATAGCCAAGTCTAACATTCTGTTAATCAGCACTGAAATAGTAGGCTGAGCATTATCAAATATTGAACTTTAAGTATGGAAAACCATATAATATTGATTTAATATTTATATCTCTGCTTTTAATTAATTTAGTCAATGCACTGGGCTGTCAGAGGCAAAAAAGACCTGATGCTGGAAGAAGCTGACCAGACTCATACCAAAAAGACTGAAAACAAGGAATGGAATGATGAACAAAGAGAAATAAAGAAAGAAGAGCTGGCTTCGACCACAGAGAAAATGGAGCAAAAAGAATCTGAACCCCTGGAGAAGTCAGTCTCCCCACAGAATCCAGATTCTTCAAGTAAGTCATATCATATTAACTTTGCAGAATGGAGAAGGTCTGAAATTAGAGAACTTGGTTTATGTTGCATTTATTCTCCATCTTTTTCAATCTATACCATAGTGCCAAATGTAAGGACTGGTTTGGCATCTTAAAAGATACTTAATAAGCATTGACACAGAAGCTGGAAGACATTCTGCCCAAGGGAAACTCAGACATTTCTCAAAATGTCTTTTGCTTTACTGAAATAACACTAGCTGTCATTTATTGAGTGTTTACTATGCACAGGAACACTATTTGCCATACTATTTTACATCTATTATCTCTTTAATGTTAATTTTACAGATATTAACTTATTTAATCCTCACCACAAGCTTGTGAGCTTGATATAAATATTATGCCCATTTTCTAGATGAGAAAACTGAAGCCCAGGGAGGTTAAATAATTTGCTCAAGGTTATACAGCTTGTATGTGGCAGAGAAGGGGTCTGAACCAAGGTAGTTTGTTTCAGAGTCTGTGTTCTAAGACACTGCACTATTCTGAGATGATACCTTATCTGTAAGTAGCTCTGTAGACATTCTGAATCATTTATGGATATACTGAAGCAAGGTATTATAGAAGTTCAACTCCTGGCTCCCAGGCTATACTATCTGTGTTGACTTTCCATTTCTACTACTTATTATCTGTATTACTCAGCAAAAGTTACTAAATTTCTCTAGATCTTTGTTTCCTCATCAATAAAATAGGGATTATAATAGCACCTTCTTATTCTGGTGCAGTGCCACACATTTGTAGTCCCAACTACTTAGGAGGCTGAGGCAGGAGGCTCGCTTGAGACCTGGAGTTTGAGGCTAAGTGTGCTATGATTGTGCCTGTGAATAGCCATTGTACTTCAACCTGGGCAACACAGCAAGACCAAGTCTCTGTGTTTATGTAGTTTAGGTGTGTTATATACACACATTGTAACTGTCCTTCAGATTCTTTTTTATTTTTTAAAAATTTTATATTTAGGGCATACACATGCGTATTCATTACATGAACATATTGCGTAGTGGTGGGGCTTGAGTCTCAGGTGGCCCATTCTCCTAAGAGTGAACATTGTGCCCCATAGGTAGTTTCTGAACCCTAATCTCCCTCATCTCTTCCCACTTATTGGTGTCCCCAGTGTCTGTTATTTCCATTTCTGTGACCATTTAGCTCCCACATTTGAGTGAGAACATGTGGTGTTTGGTTTTCTGTTTCTGAGTCAGTTTACTTAGGATGATGATCTTCACTTAGGATGATGATCTTCAGCTCCATCCATGTTGCTGCAAAAGACATGATTTCATGATTTTTTATGACTGCATAGTATTCCATGGTGTATATGTGCCACATTTTCATTATCCACTGATCAGCTGATGGGAATTTATGTTGATTCCGCATCTCTGCAATTGTAAATTGTGCTGCAATGAACAGGTGGGTGCAGGTGTCTTTTTAATATAACAACTTCTGTTCCTAAGGGTAGATGCCTAGTAGTGGGATTGCTGGATCAAATGTAGGTCTACTTTTAGTTCTTTGAGTTAACTCCTTATTGCTTTCCATAGAGGTTGTACTAATTTACATGCTCACCAGCAGTGTATAAGTGATTCCTTTTCTCTGCATCTGTGCCAGCATCTATTGTTTTTTTATTTTTTAATAATGGCCATTCCAATAAGGTGGTATTTCATTGTGGTTTTAATTTGTACTTTCCTGATATGAATGATGTTGAGTATTTTTTATATGGTTGTTGGCCATTTGTATATTTTCTTTTAATAGATGTCTGTTCACGTCATTTGCCCATTTTTTAATGGGGTTATTTGCTTTTTTCCTGCTGATTTGAATTCTTTGTAGATTCTGGATATTAGTCCTTTGTCAGATGTGTAATGTGTGAATATCTTCTCTCATTCTGTAGGTTGCCTGTTTGCTCTGTTGATTTTTTCTTTTGCCATGCAGAAGCTTTTCAGTTTAATTACGTCCAACTTATTTATTTTTATTTTAGTTGTATTTCCTTTCAGAGTTTTAGTCATAACTTCTTTGCCTAAGCTGATGTCCATAAGAGTTTTTCCTAGGTTTTCTTCTAGATTTTTTGTGGTTTCAGGTCTGATAACGTCTTTAATCCATCTTGAATTAATTATATAGGAAGTCTTTAATTAATCTTGAATTAATTATATAGGAAGAGATAAGAATCAAGTTTCATTTTTCGGCATGTAGCTATTCAATTTTCCCAGCACCTTTTGTTGAAAAGGGTGTCCTTTCCCCAGTATATGTAGGTATTTGGGTTTATTTGTGGATTCTCTATTCTGCTCCATTGGTCCATGTATCTGCTCTTGTACCAGTTCCATGCTGTTCTGGTTACTATAGCCTTGTAGTATCATTTGAAGTCAGGTAATGTGATGCCTCCAGCTTTGTTCTTTTTGCTTAGGATTGCTTTGTCTATTCTGGCTCTTTTTTGGTTCCATATGAATTTTAGGATTCTTTTTTCTAATTCCGTGAAAAATGACATTGGTAGTTTGATAGGGATTGAATTGAATCTGTAGATTACTTTGGGTGATATGGTTTAATAATGGTGATTCTTCTAATCCATGAGCATGGGATGTTTCTCCATTTGTTTGTGTCTTCATCAGAGTTTTGCAGTTTTCCTTGTAGAGATCTTTCACCTCCTTGGTTAAGTTAATTTCTGGGTATTTTATCTTTTGGCTGCTGTTGTAAATTGAATTGAGTTCTTTTTTTTGAGTTGGAGTCTCACTCTGTTGCCCAGGCTGGAGTGCAGTGGCATGCTCACAGCCACCCCAGAGTCAACCTGCTGGGCTCTGGCGATCCTTTCGTCTTAGCCCCCTCCAAGTAACCAGGCATGCGCTACCATGCCTGGCTAATTTTCGATTTTAGTGTAGAGACGAAGTCTTGCCAAGTTGCCCGGGCTAGTCTCAAACCCGTGGGCTCAGGCAATCCTCTCACCTCGGTCTTCCAAAGTGCTGGGATTACAGGCTGAGCCACCAAGCCCAACCAGAATTGAATTCTTGATTTGGTTGTCAGCTTTGTTGCTATTGGTGTGTAGCAGCGCTACTGATTTGTGTGTGCTGATTTTCTATCCTGAAACTTTACTGAATTCACTTTTCAAGTTCAGGAGTCTTTTGAAGGAGTCTTTAGAGTACTCTATGTATAAGATCATATTGTCAGCATACAGAGATAATTTAATTTCCTCTTTTCCAATTTGGATACCCTTTATTTCTTTTCCTTGCCTGATTGTTCTGGTTAGGACTTACCAGATTTCTTTTTTTTTTTTTTTTTGAGTGGGAGTCTTACTCTGTCACCCAAGCAGGCGTGAAGTGGCACACTCACGGCCACCACAACCTCAACGTGCTGGGCTCAGGTGATCCTTCCATCTCAGTCTTCCAAGTAGCTGGAACCACAGGCAGGTGCCACTATGACCGGCTAATTATTTTATTTTATTTTATTGTAGAGACAAGGTCTTACTATGTTGCTCAGGTTGGTCTTGAACCCCTGAGCTCAGGCAATCCTCTTGCCTCTGCCTCCCAAAGTGCTGGGATTACAGGCATGAGCCACTGAGCCCAGCTGACTTCTCAGATTCTTATTTGTTGATTCTCAGGGTTGTGATGTAGCACCTCATTCGAATTTAGCCTTTAAGCAGAAGGTTCCCGAATACCTTTGAACATTTGTATGAAAAAACACGATAATTAGATAGCTTGCCGTGAATTGTCGTCTTCCTAGAAATAGTCACTTCAAATCTCTCTTTGGGAAGAATTTCCACATGCTCTCTTCTTTTTGGGGATAAAGATTCTTAGAGTTTGATTCAGGTGTCTCTGTTGGTTACCCAAAAGATCTCGGTGTAGTCCTGCATGTTGATTGTATCAGCCCAGTAACTGGAAATGGTTATAATATAGCAAAGTGATCAAAGCAGAAGCCTGAATTTTAGAAAAACAGAGTTTTAAGCAAATATATGTGTACAACACACCCCCCACCCCACCCCATGCAATCTTGGCTGAATGCTCTGTCCTGCGCTTCCTGAACCTTGGAGATTCCCCGAGTCTGTTTCAGTTAGATTCAGAGCAAGTCTGAGTTCACTGGAACTGTGGGTAAGGTGAATGGGAGATATTTCTGAGACTCTGGCATCCCACTTGAGCCCCTCTCATAGATTCTGTGAAACTTAAAAAAAAAAAAAAGTTGTTTAGATTTTGGGAAAAAAAAAAAGCAAAAGTAATATGGGCTTGCTAAAACATTCAGAGAATCATATGTAGACAATAACTTTAGTGTCTACTTCATTCATCTCTGCTTCCACCTCCTTAAGTAGCCAATGTGAATGCTCAAATATGTTTCCTTCCACACAGTTCTCAATGCTAATACAAGTGTAAGTAAATATATGTACACTTTTGAGAACTTTGGATATAAAAAATAGGGCTATGCTGTACACATTTGTCTATGTTACACAGTGGTTAAGGGTGCAGACTCAGAAACCAGATCCCAGCTTTTCACTGATGAGTTGTGTGACCTTGGGCAAGCTAGTTAACCTCTCTGCATTTGAGTTTTCTTACCTATATAGTGATCAAAATGTTAACATTTTTTGAGGAGCAAATAACTTAGCATATGTAAAATAGTCCAGTGCCAAGCAAGTGGTAAGCACTTTTTTAGAGTTAGGTTTTATTATTTAGGGACTTCTTAAATGCTTACATTAAGAATGAGTTTTTTTTTTTTAAGTGAGAAAGCAGGATTTATTGAGGACAGAAAAGCTCCCACAGTGGGAAGGGGCCCACAGGAGTTGTCCGTTTTTGTTCTTTTTAACAGCTGATTGTATTCCACAGTGTAGATATTTAATATATTGAAGTTGAATAAAAATGTAGAGACAAATCATGCAAAGATGTTTTATTTGGAAAAATATATAAAAACAGAATTGCAGTTTGGGGCATGCACACAGACCAGGGTGGTCTTTGGTATGTCTGAAGAACAAAGAGGTTGGGGGTTTTATTCCAAAGAGAAATGTTACATTGTTTTGAAAGAAAACTTATTGGCGCTAGTTAAGTTTTGGAGCTGGCAAGCTCTGATTAGTGAACAATGGCAGTAGGGAAGACTGGTCTTGGAGGCATGGCAGTTCATTTAAGCAGCTACTAGGTAAGACTGGTTTTAAGGTTATTTCGGCAGCTGGTTTGTGATGCTATCCTTGATCAGGTGCTCCTGCTTCAAGTGCTTTTCTTAGCTTCTTTGTTTAAAATTCTTGTCTGGGCATTTATTACTAGGAGAATCCAAATTAGAAAGTACGTATTTGAAAAACGACAAAAATGACACTATTTACTATAGAAATGTTAGAAAACGTGATCAGGCAAAGAGAAGAAAATGCAACCTATAATCTCATCAGTTAAAGAAATATGTATTAATATTTTGATATATTTTCATTTATGTTATTATACCTAAAGGATTCCCTCCCCCTTGTTTCTTGACTTTAATTCAATGGAGTAATATAAAAAGGTAAATCCAATTCATATAATCAACTTTCACACATAATTTCCTAAGAACAAATTGTAATGCCAGTTTTGATGTCCTCACATTGTGAAGTATATGCTCTTACTGTGGTTTAAGAATGAAGTTGGGGGAATGAAGTTGGCAGGATGGATTTACCAGTATTTTTAAAAAATGCTGTTTAAGAGATTATTGACTCTTCTGACTAGTAGCTTAAACACTGGAGTTTGATACTTCAAAGTACAGTTGCATGATTATTTATAAGCTCATTTTCTGCGGTGTAAGTTTTTTATAACATCAGCATTTGAGAAATATTATTCATGTTATTCAAGCCCTGAAATATTATTCAAGCCCTGAGTGGCTCATGAAAAGACATGAAGCATTCTTGTTTATTGCAGAAGAATAAGAAAGTACAGATAAACAAAAAAGAGTGTAAAAATGAAAAACATATCTATTGCAAATATCCAGGAATAAATACTGTTAATTTTGGTGTACTTTTTTTAGACTTAAAATATTTCACTTTTCAGCATACTTGCTAATTTCAAGCAGTGCTCAATGTGACTTTGGAGTTTGCCTTTTGATGGTTCATCTGTGATGAGCAGCCACCAAATAGTCCCTGTCACATTCTGACTCTTCATTGCAACCAGTAAAATAATGGAGCATAGCATCTGAAAACTGGTGTGTGAGACAATCTCACTGTTACCTTCTTTCTGTTTAAATATGCAATAAATAAGTCCAGGTGAGGTGGCTCATGCCTGTAATCCCAGTGCTTTGGAAGGCAGATGTGAGCGGGAGGATTGCCTGAGATCTAGGTCTTGACAACATCCTGTGCAACGTAGTGAAACCTGACTTTATTAAAAAAAAATAGAACAAATTAGCACAATGCCTGTAGTCCCATCTACGTGGGAGGGTCAGTGGAGTCCGGGCTGTGATCTCACCACTACACTCCAGCTTGGATGACAGAGAGAGCTTATGTCTCTTTAAAAAAAAAGTGCAATACATATGCCTTCTGACAAATTCAATTCTAGAATTAAATAGTATAGAATCCTGGAGAAGAAAATACCCAAAATTAAGATGTAGCAGAAGATATTGGTGTACTGCCATGTCCCTGGGCACTTATCCTCCCGGGCATTGCCAACCCTGTGGACCTCAATCACAAACACTGTGACTGCCAGAGAGCTTGCTCTGGCAATGGAGCCTGCTTGGCACCAGATGAGCAAGCAGTAAGAGCCAGGAAGTAAATGCCCTTTGGATACAGCCATCAGACTATAATGAGTAGAAGTGGAAGGCTAAATTTCCTAGCTCCTTCAACTCCTCGCATGGGATAATTTTAATGGGTTTTTATATTGTCTCCCAGGTTCCCCTTGGGATCAAACTCCAGTTACCCATGGTGGTAACTTATTTGACAGTGCAACTTTGGTAGATTTGGTTCTCCTCCCCATTCCCCTACCAGCATCTCCTGGGATCATCTCCCAAATTAGCCACTTTCTTTCAAATTTTTGTCTGGGTGTCCATTTCTAGCTGACCTCAAACTAGAAACAATGATTTATTTATTTATTTAGAGTCGGAGTCTCACCATGTTGCTCAGACTGGGGTGCAGTAGCACACTCCCGGTCACTGTAGCCTCTACCTGCTGGGCTCAGGCAATCCTTCTGCCTCAGCCTTCCAAGTAGCTGGAACTACAGGCAGATGCTATCACGCCCGGCTTATTTTTTGATTTACAATGTATTTTTAAAGCTACAAAAATGACACTAATTTACTACAGAAATGTGAGAAAATATGCTCAAGCAAAAGGAAGAAAATACAACTCAATAAACTTAAAGAAATACTTATTGTTGATATTTTGTATATTTTCATTTATGCCAGTATAACTAAAACTAAAAGGGTCTTACTGTACATATATTGTGAGTAATTTTTTATTACAGGTTGTCAGAAACAATTTCCTTTTTTCTTTTTGCCCAAATGGAAATTCTTCAAATTTGTTTTCTCTGATAATTCTTGCAAAAGGGCACACAAATTCTGTTTTTTTTCTGATAGAACCACTGTCAACTATTATGTGTATATTTTTCCTGAGTAGATATTTAGATATTATTTTATTTTAAAATACCAATGGAAGCATGTTTTACATATTATCCTGTAACTTTTCACAAACGTTATTATAAGCATTTGAAAAGACACAAAACATACTTGTTTATTGCAGAATAAGAAAGTACAGATAAACAAAAGAGTATAAAAACGAAAAACATATCTACCGCAAATATCCAGGGATAAATACTGCTAATTTTGGAGTACCTTTTTTTAGACTTAAAAATATCACAGTCATGTAAATAACGACTTGATCAATGAGATCATATTGTATGTTTTCGATCTGTCACTTAGCAATATGCTATGAACATTTTTCTATGACAGTATACATTGAAAACATTTTAATGACTATATCAAAGTCAACTTTCACTTGCTGAAAATTTAGATTTTTTTTTAGATTACTTCTTGATTTTAAAAATTTCATAAATGGTATCTTTATAAGCATCCTTATAGCTAAACCATTGGGCACATCCATTATTATTTCCTTAGGATAAATTTCTAGAAGTAAAATTACTGAGCCAACGGTTTATACTTTTTTTTTTTTGAGTCTCAATCTGTCGCCCAGACTGGAGTACAGTGGCCACTCCCGGCCACCGTACCCTCAGCCTTCCGAGTAGCCGGAGCTACAGGCGCGCGTTGCCACACCCAGCCAACATTTTGATTTATTGTAGAGATGAGGTCTCGCCAAGTTGCCCACGCGGGTCTCGAACCGCGGGCTCAGGCAATCCACTCACCTCAGCCTCCCAAAGCGCGGGATTACAGGCTGAGCCACCGCGCCTGGCTTTTTTTTTTTTTAAGTCGGAGTCTCACTCTGCCACTCAGGTTGGAGTGCAGTGGCACGCTCACGGCCACGCCAGTGTCGACCTGCTGGGCTCAGGCGATCCTTCCTCCTCAGTCATCCAAGTAGCGGGAACCACAGGCGCGTGCTACCTCGCCCAGCTACTTTTAAAAATTTACTGTAGAGACGAGGGCTCGCCAGATTGCCCGGGCTGGTCTCGAACCTGCGGGCTAAGGCAATCCACTCGCCTCTGCTTCCCAAAGTGCTGGATTACAGGCTGAGACACCGAGCCTGGCCGGTTTATACATTTTAACAAGTTTGGCGATTTTTGCCAAATTGCTTACCAGAAAAGTTTTGCCAACTTCTACTTTTTCTAGTAGAGATGAAAAATGACTTTTTTTCCCCTCCAGTTTTCAACAGTGTTATTTATTGTAATAATTTTCTTTTTAACCATGGAGTTCAATTATAGTATTTGTATTTCCAAGTATTTGTATTTCCAAGTATTTGTATTTCCAAGTATACAAATACAAATATTTCTAATACTTGTATTTATCATTGACCTTTTACTTTTTGAAACCATGTGAAAGTTGTTCCCCCCCCCCCTTTTTTTTTTCAGTTGAATTGTCAAAACACTCACCACTGGAGATATCTATAAATTTTCTTTTATTATTAAGCATTTAAACCTGTGAGGCATTCTCATCCATAAAAATTGTAATTCTTGTTCATAAGAATTCCTGTCTGCTTAAATTAATGTTTCTGTAAGATATTAAAAATTCATACCAAAGACTTACCCTTACATTTTACTTGTTGCAGCGAAATCTTATCCCCAAGATGTTTTACTATAACAAGAATGACTTTTCTTTTCCTACCTCTGATTTTAAACATTTCTTTTCTCTCTTTTAAAGGCTTTTCAGATGTGAACTCTTGGCACCTTCATTTTCGCTGGTCTGGGGATGCTCCCTCAGAACTCCTCAGGAAGTTCAGAAACTATGAAATATGAAATATCCCTATTCCATAAAAAAGGGAGAGCAAGATTGTCCCCTGTGCTGCCAATACGCTGTCTTTGTTCATATGTTTAAAATGTCATGTTTATTTGTCATGTTTGTGAATTACTGATTTGATTTGTTTGTGAATTGTGAGTAATGATTGATTTATCCATTCCTGAACTGATTCTCATAATGTTTTTTAAAACAGAAAATTTTCAGAAGATAGTTTCTTTGATATTTAAATAAATCAAGGCTCTTAGATCCAGAATAGATGATGTTTTTTCTGGTTAATGTTATTTATAGAAATCCTTATATAAAAAGTCAATCTCTGTTTAGTGCATTTGAACATTTCACTGATGTACCATGATTTATATTACGGCTGGATGTACAAGAAATATTTTCTGACTCTTAAAATGAAATGTGAAATTACTTGTCCACACCCTATGGAATGAAATAAATAATTTTCCCAAAGTTCAAAAATGGTTGTCTGTTTTTCAGATATTATGTCCTTCCTACCATTGTGGTTTAAAATGTGTTTCCTTTTATGGCTTGGTTTCAGAGCAGATTGTATTAGTTTCCTAGGGCTGCCATAACAACATACCACAGAGTAGACTGTTTAAACATAGTTTGGAGGCTAGAAATCCAAGATCAAGGTGTCAGCAGGCTTTTTTGAGGCCTCTCTTGGCTTACAGATGGGCCACATGTGGCCTTTTCTCTGTGCACATACATCCCTGGTGTCTGTCCTTATAAGGAGACCAGTCATAATAGATTAAGGGCCCTTCTAATTCAATTTAACATAATCACATTTTTTAAGACCACATCTACAGATACAGTCAAATTCTGAGGTACTGGGAGTTGGGACGTCAACATATTAATTTTGGGGCAACACAATTCAGTACATAACATAGAAGAAAGTTTTTTTTTTTTTTTTGAAAACTAATACAGCCCTGTGTTGGTTCCCTTAGTTTTATTAGAATTTTTACTGTTTTGTTAAATCTGAAAGTCAGGGCCGACCACTTAAAGAATTATTTCTATTAATATTTTACCATTTCAGTAAAACGTCTCAGCATTGTTATCATCCTGCGAATTTTACTTCAAAAATACAAAATATTGTATACTTAACCTTGAATTGTTCCCCACATCTTTATAATAAAAAAAAAAGAGCCAGGCTCAGTGGCTCAGCCTGTAATCCTGCATTTTGGGAGGCCGAGGTGAGTGGATTGCCTGAGCCCGTGGGTTCGAGACCTGGGCAATTTGGTGAGACCTCATCTCTACAATAAATCAAAAAGTTAGCTGGGCGTGGTAGCACGCGCCTGTAATTCCAGCTACTTGGAAGGCTGAGGTGAAAGGATCGCTGGAGCTCAGCAGGTCGAGGCTGCGGTGGCTGGGAGCGGTCACTGCACTCCAGTCTGGGTGACAGAGTGAGACTCCAACTCAAAAAAAAAAGAAAGAAAGAAAAGAAAAAAAAAACCCCACAACCAGCAAAACAAAACAAAACAATACAAATTAGATGAATAAAATAGAATGTTAAGTTAGTAAAATGAGCTATTGGACAATAGTTGCCTGTTATAATGCCTGCTTGGGACAGGTAGGCAGTCAAATAAATACTATATTGAATAAGTACATTTTTGAATCTAAGAATCAGGGTTTTATTTATTTTTTCTTTTTTCCCCCGACTGTCTGATTTATAGCACTGATGACTTTTAATAACTTGGGAAAAATACTCCCATGCTCCACTCTGCTTTTGTTACAGACTCATTACCCAATTGTAGACAAGATTAAGCACTAGCTCTTATTTACTTTTCTCTCCCACAATGCCCAAAGCCTCCTGAAAGGATAGAATCCAGAATGAAGTTTTTCTGGTCACCCTGAGTAGATCTGATTATGTACTTAGGTCAATGCTGCAGGTACTACAATTATCATTAACTAGAAGAACAACTAGTTTCCCATGCCCCTTGGTTGAGTTTCATTAAGATTTACATCTTTGTCCCTAGAATTTGTCTTCCAGCTACTGGCCCAGGCCTTCTTGTCTATGTGACTGACCCACCCATCTAGCTACTGGCCCACCTTTGCCCATGTGCTTGTGACTGACCCACCCATCTATCCAGTTGTCAGACATACGAGAAGACCACCACCATGGAGCCAGTTCTCTTTACTATCTCACCCAAGATGTTTGCCTGCCACTTGAAAAAAAAGCTTTATCCCCCAGCCCTGAACACTCGGGGCCAGCATTTCCTTTAAGTGTTTGGCCCCCTTCTCCACTCTTGGGGAAGTGGATTTACTCTTTCTCTGATCTACTTTCTAAATAAATTTCCTTTTTCCTAATCTACCTTCTAACCAATTCTTTGCATACCCACGGCACCAATTCAGCTCATGAACCGAACAGATATAAAGAGGCTTATGCCATGTTTATGCTCTCAAGGAGTTGATATTCTAGTGAAGTAAGACAGACATAAGTAAGATATCTTCAGTTTAAAAGGAGTATATTGAATTAGTTTAAATATGTACTGCACTTAGAACTTGACATATAAGCGCTATGTGAATTATTACTATTCTTACTATATTATGTGTTAAGTTTTGTGTTAATCAATTAACAGAATTGTGACCACTTTCAACTTCTTTCCCCAAGTTGGATCTCAGAGTCATTATTTCTTGCATATCTTTCCTTAGATATTCTGTGCATTTATACACATATATGTGTTTCTGCTCTTTACACAAACGATAACATACTACATCCACTGCTGCATACATTACATTTACTCAGTTAATATATTTTGGTATGTGAGTGCTACTTTATTCTTTCCACCTGATGAATAGCATCCCATTAGGTGAATGAACCATAATTTATTTACATTGTCTTCTATTTATGCCTTCTCAGTCTATTTACAATTTTTTGCAATCACAAATAACACTGTAATGAGTATCTTTGGGCAAAGTATTTCTTATATGTGAAGTTTACCTGTAAGAAAAACACCTAGCACTGGAATTTCTGGGTTAAAGTGATATCAGGTGGGATGAGGCACAAAACTTGTGGGTCCTTTGCCACACTACTGAAATGAATTTCAGAGTGGCCAACATAGCTTTAAAACAGAATTTATTAGAGAGAGTGAAGGGAAAGATAGAGGGATGTACCAGAAAGAGTTAGCGAGAGAAACCATATTTTGAATTTGACAACAGGTCTAATATACCCATTAAGTGACTAATATGTTAATGAGTAGGCAGGGGTATCTGGTTTGTAGAGATTACCATCTCTTAGCCTCTGATGGGTGAGAGGGTGGAGTGACCTGAGAGTCCATACTGAATCCATATTCCAGCAAGCAGGGTGGTTGGGCCTGCAGACAAGATGTCTGGATGCTTTCTAAAAACTGCCTACAAGAAATTTATCTAGATATGTCTAACCTACCCTGACTACTCTGCCTCAAAAGAGTATGTATGTGCATTTAAAATTTGATTACCATATTCTCAAGCAAACTACAAATGCCATCTGGCAAGTTTCAGAGAATTTAGGGAGGTTGGATTGAAAGATCCAGGAAATATTGCTTGTTCATTGGGAGTCTTGCTTTTAGTTTATTTATTTATTTTTTAAACCTTAGAGGTAGACTTTGTTGAGTGGCTCAGTCTGAAGCACTGTGCTTATGGGACAATTTACCAGGACCTTTCCTAACCTCTAATATCAGGGATTGTCAGAATATAAAGCAATAATAAAACCAGAGTACACATTTCTTCTGGCACCTCCCATGGGGAGAAAACAAGGCCTTTTTTCAGCGCTATGGCTACTTGCTTTCTGGTTGTCCTGAAATATTGAAATACAATTCTGAAACATTCTTGTTCTTTGAAGTAAAGGGGAACTCAACAGAGCCACTACTCAATGGACATATTCACAGCCTGTCAAAAATATGCCCCTTGATAAGCAAATTAGAAATGCAAAAAGACTTTGTAGATATTCTTTTTATGTCAAAGAACTGGATAAAGAGAAGATAAGGTTGTTTTCCTGCTTATGAATTTTCATATCCTTTCCCTGCCTGGATCTGATGGTAGTTACAAGATCAGTCACAGCAGCAAGTGTCGATGACTAATACAGTTATTGAGAGGGGTCTTTAATTTCCTGGAGGCAAACATCATTACCTGCCACAGCCACATCACTGACAGGAGATGCCGGACTACTGGGGAGTCAGCGATGGAAGAAATTATAAAACTCATGCAATTACTGAGAAAATGATGAGATGTCTCACAACGAAAGGCTTCAACTCCCTTCAATTTCAGGTTTGGTGATATGCATCACTGTGGCCTTGTCTTCAGTATTATTACTTCTTGACTCTCTGCTGTCTCATCCTCACTGTGGGAGAATAGTCTGTGTCAGCCAGCTCATCCTCGTCCTTTCTCCTCTTGCCTGGGCTCTTGTTTCTTCCAGTGTTTTTGCCTTTATTATTCTTGTATTAATTATGGAATTTAAGTTAGATTCTTGGAGAATTGGATCTTTCTCTATCTCTAACCTACTGTGGCACTTAGGGCAAACTACTTGAGCTCTCTGATCCAGTTTCTTCTATCTGTGGCCGGATAAAAGGATCTCCCCTTTGTGGAATACAAGATTTTGGCCCGGTACCAGGCCTAGAGTTGACCAGTATAGGACCTCAGGAGGAAGTCAGGACAGTTTGGGAAGGAGTGTGTAGGCCAAAACTAGACGTCGAGGATTATCGAGGACCGGGAAGGCAGAGAAAGAGGATGTGACTCCTCCATCATGCTCTTTTAACAACTTTTCCTTTCTTACTGTTCTTTTAAGTAAAAAGGCAGAAATAAAAAGGGAAAAACGACAATCAACTAGGTACATCTATATACACCAGCCCCAAACACCTCAATTATCTTTTCACATCCAGCTGAGTCTGATGCCATTCTTGAAAGCATCCCACCTCTAAAGACAGTGGTGAAGTTTTTATATTAAATACTTTCTAGCTTATTAGACCATGAGTGGAGGCTCTAAAGCAGGGTCTAATAATAATTTTAACTATTACCTTTAATAATTTCCAAAGTATTTCTGCACATATCTTGTTTAAACCTCCCAACTAACTTCATTTTCTTGAGGAATTTGTAGCATTTGTCACAGTTTAAAAACCACAATAGAATGGAAAACCAATTTTTTTTGGTATTTGTTTAAACCATTGATTCTCAGACTAGGAATCACCCGGGGGACATGAAACCCTGTGCGTATTGATTACTATTCCTACTATATTATATATTAAATTTTGTGTTAATCAATGAACAGAACTGTGACCTCTTTCAGCTTCTTTTCCCCAGGTGGATCTCAGAGTAACTATTTCTTGCATATCTTTTCTTAGACATTCTGTGCATTCTGGTCATCTTCAGGATGGAACTTGGTCCCTGGAAAGACCAAGGTTTGACAAGAGGGTTGGGACTTTCAGTCCAGGAAAGGGGCTGAAGTTTGAGTTGATCACCAATGGCCAATGATGTAATCAGTGATGCCT